CCATGAAAGGATGTGCTACATGTACCGATTTGGGATAAGTTTAGATAAGTGTCTGGACCATGGGTAAGTAGTAGGTGATGAGGCCAGTTACTGGACAGGGCCAGATACTAAAGGTTCTTGAATGCCAAGCTAAATAGTTGGGTTTATCCCATAGTAGTTGGGGAGCCAAGACAAGCATTTAAGCCTACAAATGGTTTGATCAGCAGTGCACTTTAGCACAATACTCTGAGAATGATGTGGAAAATGGGCAAGATTGCGAAGAGTCTGAAGGAAAGGAGGCTATTTCAAAAGATCAAATACTAGGCTCTAGATGAGGCAGAGGGAGTAAGGATAGAAAGTAATGGGCGGATTTGAGAGATTTCTTGAGATAGAATTGATGCAACTTGATGAAGAATTAAGTCTGAATCAGGGGAAGGAAGAATAACTGAAAAGACACAAAGTTCATAACTTGACATGAACATTCATCCAATTTTCCAGCAATCAAGATAAAAGTTATACAACAAGGACAGGTATCTGGTAGAGAAGGTAATAGTAACTTAGTCATGCACCTATTGTGTTATTGTCTAACTACTTCATGCTCATAAGTCTCATCAACCTGGCAAAACCATAGTCTTCTCCAAGAAAGAAATGACTCACAATTGTCTTGTGCCCATTTATCCACTCAGTGTCCACTTCAGTGTTGAATAGAAAAATAACTAAACACAACTCACCAAATATTTGTTAAATATAGAAGGTTATAAGATACTATACTCAAAAAGTATCGCGGATCAAAGGTAGAAATCATAGAAGAAAATCTGAACGGGTTTTAGTATATAACATTTTAAATTGTCTGTAACTTACAAAAGAAAAATGGCTAATATAAATTTAAAAGTTTTACTTCACTAGTAATCAAATAGATACAAATTAAATATTTCTCTATCAAATTTCAAAGACGTTCAAAACACCTGATGGAAAGAAACCAGTCTTTGACTTGATTTATCACAATGGCAGTTAGCCAGGAGAGCTACCTAACCAGGAACATGTCAAGAAATGAACCTAGTAAGACTCTTTTACTGCAGTATAGCTAGCCTATCCTTACTAACTGCAGATATTCTCTTCTCATTCCTAGAATAACCTGTTGAGGGACACATGATGATCTCCATTGCAGAAACACAGGCAATGAAATCAAGAAAGTTACTTGTGGTTATACAGTTAGTAAATGGTGGAGCTATAATTAAAATCCATGTGTTTCTGACCTCAAAGCTCATGACATGGGGAGTGAGTATGAATTCCACAATTACATGATTATTGAGGTAATCATCATTCTATTATGAGAGCCAGCTCTATGCCTGAGCAGAACAGGCCTTCGCATGTGCGATACCTTGAGGAAATAATTCTGGATGACCCCAAAGATCACCACTAGCTGCCATGGCAGGGGCTTCTCCTCTCAGCTAGTCAGAGGTTCTCACTGTTAGGGTCACTATTGTGTAGGCAGTAATGAGGCTTTAATCAACTTCTCGGTATTTCAGTTTTCTCATATGTAAAAATGGATAATAAAATCTACCTCAAAAATCTGTTGAGAAGATTTGCTTTTAGAATAAAAGTGACACTGCCTCAAGAGTTATCTTTCTAAAATGCAAGCTCCATCCCAGTCAATACCATTTGGTCTTCAAAACCAGCTCCAGTATCTTAAGTGAGAATCCTGTCTCAATCACCCAATGAGAGATCACTGCTCTCTCCCTCCATGCTTCTACTATGCCTTCCACAGACCTTTGTGATTCTTCACATTGTAACCTAATATTCATTTACTTTTCCACACCCCTTACTATACCATAAGCCACTTGAGAATGGAGTCAATGGCTTAGACATCTTGTGATACCATCACCAAGTTGAGGACGGGCATATGGGGGAATTTCTTTGTTTAAAAAGAAAGAGAGAGAGAGAGAGAGAGAGAGAGAGAGAGAGAGAGAGAGAGAGAAAGGGAAAGAAAGAGAGAAAGGGAAAGAAAGAAAATAGTCCATTATTTTACTGTCACAAAACCCTATCAGGCAGTTATGATAATTATCTGCATTCTACAACTTGAGCAAATTGAGGTTCCAAGTTGCAGTGACTATAAAATCATTCATAGAAGAGCAAGTTTACACTGAATCCAGGTCTCCAGACTCTCCACTCCAGCAAACATGGCCTTTCAAAGACAACAGGAGAAAAGGCCCGCCATAGACCACCTAGACCAGTGATTTTTCAACAGGTGTGCCGCAAGAATTTTTAAAACATGCAATACATGACTATTTAGTCAGGGTGCTGACCTTTTTTTCTTTAGATTATCAAATTAAAAAATGTCAGCCAACACAACAATAGCTGTCTGGTGTGAATGAATCAAAATTATAGCCTTTTGGGGTCAGATTGAAAAAAATATATGTTTTGGTGTGCTGCAGAATTTTAGTAATTAGTTTGTATGTGCCATGAGATTAAAAAGGTTGAAAATCGCTACTCTAGACCATCATTGCACAAAGGTACTTTGTTCCTCAAAGGTAATAAGGATTCTGAATAGTATTGGGAAACAGATTTAAAGTACAAGGAATGTTGGCAGATTTGGGTCTAACTCCAGGCTCACTCTATCCTTAACTCTGCTGCCTTTGGGCAAATCTCTTAAACCCAGGGGCCTCGGCTTCCTCATCTGTAAAATGGGGTTTTAAATAATGATGCTCACCATTGCAGGGTTTGATATCAGAATAAAAGTTATATGTTAAACTGTGGTTATTATTATGTCAGGAAAAATTGGCACATATTCAAGGTCTGTGCCACCCAGCTGGTATGGCTCAGAGGTTGAGCCTGGTCCCATGTACCAAGAGGTGACCAGTTGGATTCCCAGTCAGGGCACATGCCCAGGTTGTGGGGTCAATCCCCAGTAGGGGGTGTACAGGAGGCAGTAGATTGATGTTTCTCTCTCATTGGTGTTTCTCCCTCTCCCTCTCTCACTAAAAAAAAATCAATTTAAAAAAACATATTTTTTTAAAAATGCCTGTGCATGAAGTATTTTTCATACCCAATTTTATTTCATTCCCACAGCAACCCTGTGGAATCCATGCTATTACTTTGATGTTATATTGAGGAAACTGAGACTCAAAGACATTTAAACAACTTGTCTAAGGTCACCCAGGTAGCAATTGGCAGAGTTTGCATTCAGACCAAGGTCTTTCTGAGTCCAAAGCTCTTTGCAGGTTACCCATATGCATACCGGATTAGTTTCAGTGGAGAAAATATGAGGACTCAGATATGCCCAAATTCTGAGGTCAGTGTTAGGTGCTAGGAAGGTCAGATCAGATTCATGTGTAGCTTGGATGTTTATTAAAACTGTTTGGAACATGTATAAGATAGGGAGGGGAAAAACCAAAAGGAAAGAAGACAGCCAACAATAAATGGCATGCTCCTCAATTTCCCTTTCAGTTAATAGTACAAGAAACACTAGAGATGATTCATATTCATAGTTCAATCCTGTGTTAAGTCTTCAAGGTAAAAATCCCATATTGTAATACTGATGTATTATTTCCTCTTGATCTTGCAACTATTTGTTGTGTACCAGAAAATGTTCCGAAACCAAACAGGAAGCTCAGAAAAGTCACAGGAAATATCTGATCTCCTTTACTCTAAGTCAAATGGAAACAAACTCTACTAGGTTAGTCTCTAATTTGCATCCTTAATACTAAGGGATGTTGGAAGAGGTAACTAGCAGAGCAGTGGATGGCTTCAAATCATCCTACAGAGAAACAAAGGCCATTTCACAATAATACAATTTTAAAAATAAGTTGTTTTCTGGTGTTCTCCTCTGCCACATATAGTTCCCCCAAGCTTGGAACAAATACACCTTTGCATTCGCCATTCAAGCCCAAAAAACCTTCATGCTGTGAATGTGTGTGTGTTTTAAATATATTTTTATTGATTTCAGAGAGAAAGGGAGAGGGAGAAATATCAATGATGAGAGGGAATCACTGATCAGCTGCCTCCTGCATGTGCCACACTGGGGATGAAGCCCAAAACCCGGGCATGTGCCCTGCCAGGGAATCCAACCTTGACCTCCTGGTTCATAGGTCATCGCTCAATCACTGAGCCACACTGGCTGGGCCATGCTGTGAATGTTTTTGATTCATGCATTCAGGAGTCAGATTAGGCACGGGTAGAAACAGTAGTGCAGGAAAAAATAAACAAACAAACAAACCCTATTCCTGTGGGATGAAAAGTTCTCAAGTGAGGCACTCACACCAAATGCTCCCACCTGATGCCCCAAGGCTGTGAACCCAGAAAGATGCTCAGTCCAGGCTAAGAACCCAGACTTGGAGAAAGAAAACTCAACAAAGAAGGGGTGGTTAAGCGGAGGACTCTGACAGGGAATGAAATCGTTTTGTTTGTTCAAATTTATGAGCAAAGGGAGGGTCCGAAATTCTCAACTAATAAATACATCCGGCTCTGAACTTTTCCAAAATAGAGCTAATGACACCGGGAGCTAACAGATCTCATAGAAAACTCATTCCTGAGGGACTACCTGTAAAAAACTCTCAGAAGTTTCTGTCTTCACATGATCAAATGCTCAGTAGTACACCCCTCTGCTCACTCTCACCTCCATTCAAAGTGCTATACCCCTCACCACCAATAACCATACCGTCTCTCCTCTGTCCGTGGCCCCTGAAAGGCCTCAGGCAACAGAGCCACAGGACCCGCGGGAACACCCCTCCCCTCCCTGCCAGTTCCATTATTCCGCAGGCAGCCCTGCTTTCCCCAGGAGCCAACAGTCTGCAGCTCCTTCGATGCAGGCACGAGCAGACAGAATGGTGGGAAGAGAGGCTGTGCAAACTGCATGCTTCAGAATCTCCCTCCATATGCATTTGCCAAAGGAACAAAAAGAAGATCAGTGCCAGGAAAAGACAACTGAGATGAGGATGCAGTGGGACCGCGGCTGACTCCGTGCCCCTGAGCAGCAAGGGGCTGGCCAACCACGCATCGGAGCCACAGACCCGAGTCGTTACCTTCAGGATGCAGGCCATGACGCTCTGCCGACCCTCCTGCCACCGAGCAGTGGGCGCGCCTGAGTCAGGGGCAGTCTTGGCGACGGGCTGGAGGCTGGTACCGCGGCAGGACCGCTCCAGCCCACATTCCCGCAGATCCAAATAAGGGGACCTCAGTGCGAGCTGCGCGGGCACAGGCCCCGCCCCCGGGCCTCGGCCCCGCCCCCGGTCCAGTCCACTGGCTGGCTGCCCGCGACGCCCCGCCCCCCGCGTCACGTGCCGTCCCGGGCGCCACGGCTGCCCTTTGGTGCTTGCTACTTTTTCTTTTCTCTTTTATTTCTGTAAATGTTCTGTCGTTCAACTTATACAAAGCCAGCAGCACGCTGGGGAGAGAGAGCGGTCTTTTCCTCTCCTTGATTCGGGCTCCTCTAACAGATCAAGAAAACTCCTTGCAGACATTTCTTACTTTTTAAAAAGTTTAAATGGGCTTGGGATCACCCCTCTACAGACACCATCTAAGGATTCTTCAAAAGTAGCAAAGGAAATTCTCCCTGGGCTATTTAATAAAGCCTTCACTCTGCTTAAAAACTCTGTGATGGGATTACCTAAAGTTAATAATTTTCCATTAATAAGAGCAGAAATACCTATTAACCAAAGATGCCATGAATTTTACACCATATATTTTATGTACACACATGCACGTGTACATATATGTGTGTATATGTATACATATGTAATGCATTTCTCTTTCATACTTTAAGCTTGTGTGTTTATGAAAATGTGTGTAAACATAAATACAGTAAATAGAACATTCTTATATATACTTTGATTATATATGTATATAAATTGTGTGTGTGTGTGTGTGTGCATAAACAGGCAGGACATTCCTCTTCCCTGTTACAAGTTTAATTTTTTAGCTTTATTTTTATTGTTGGCATCATTACAGATGGCCCCATTTTACCCCCCTTTTGCCCACCTCCACCTAGCCCCAGCCCCCACCCCCACCCCCTTTCCCCTGGCCACCATTACACTACTATTTGTGTTTATGTGTCATGCATATATGTTCTTTCTTTCTTTTTTTTTTTAATCCTCACCTGAGGAGATCCATTGCCTTCATAGGTTCCCTGACTGGGGATCGAACCTGCAACCCAAGTATGTGCCCTGATGGGGAATCGAACAAGCAATCTTTCCGTGCACAGGGCCATGCTCAACCAACTGAGACACTTGGGAGCATATATGCTCTTGGGCTAATTCCTCCTGCTATACGTTGAGAATTTGAATGAACTTTGTTGCAACTTCAGTAACAAGATTAAATCTAAATGTTCCTGTTAGGCTTGGAAATCCAGAGAGGCCATGTCACCATGCAACCTGAACTCTTAGGCTAAACCAGAGTAATACAGCCCCTCTACTTAACAGGCAGGTGTCTGGGAGAAGCAATGTTTTGGGTCCTCTCCACCCATCCTCAGCAGACCCTCACTGAGTGGAAATCAACAAGAAAACCCAATTCTAAGAACCAGCTAAAAGAAGCAGAGTTATTTCTACAAGGAAAGTAACATCACATGCAGCAGAAGAAGGAGAGAGCATTCTTTGTATATAAACAGATTTCTACCACGTGGTCTGTCAGAAAAATCTTAAAAACCAGACCCAAACTATTTACCCAAAAGAGGTTTCACCTACATGGAGCAGGAAAAGCACTGTGAGCTGCTAGTAGGCAGTGACGTCATGAAATTTGCTCACAAACCACAAGGCAGAAACCAGGCTTTCTAGGATTGGGTGTTTTATTGACGAGAACATCCAGAATCCTGAGAGCAGAATGAATCACAGGAAAAGGGGGCTGAGAGTGAGGATGAACTTTCTGCTCCCAAGGGAAGCTGCTCTTTTCAGTGACCCTGAGAGAACGTATTCCTTCCCCCAGCCCCTCCATCTGCTTCAGAGAGCTGCTCATTTTCAATAAGAACTTCTGGATCAGGACTGTATATTTTAAACTGCTGCTTTATCTCATGGTCTTTGGTGAGCCAGGAAAACTTACTCTTTCATTCATTTATTAATTCAACAAACCTTTATTGGACTACTACTAGAAGAATAAATCTTATTTGAGTTACCACTAACTGAAGGGTCAAGGCTTTATTGAGATACTACCAACCAGTTAGGGATGAAAGAATGATTTTTGTGGTCTGAAACAGTGGCTCAGCTCCTGTCAAGTAAGAGAGATAAGAGATACATGATAAGATAACATGGGAGGTTCTTTAACCAAGTGGAAGCAAAGCTCTAAGGAAAGAGGGACTGGGCCTGACAGGGTGGCAGGTGGGAAGGGGAGGGTAGGCAGAGAACACCATGCTCTCTCCAGAAAGTCTGCAGGTCTAGGAGACAACACAGCAGACTCCAGTGAGCAACCTTGCTGAGCACTTCCTTGCTGGGTGACCTTGACCAAGTTTCTTAACTTCTCTTTGGTCCTTAGCCTACAGGATAGGATCTATCCTTGTGAGAATGAAATGAGATAATGCTTGTAAATCCACTCACCTCAATTCCTGGCACTATGAACACTCTGTAGTGCTAATTACCCAAAGAACAAAACCTTTGACTAAAGAAGCTTGTGGGAGAGGATGAATAGGATGATTTCCATTCACCGTGGCTGTCTCAGAAAGATGAACACTGAGGCCAACATTTAGCGTCTTACAACTTGGGTATCCTGTAGTGAGGGCTTTACTAACTCCATTAGTCTTGGGTATGGCTCTCCCAATTAAACTCCCACCCACCCATGCCCACACTTCTCAAAGCATTATTTTTATTAGCATCTAAAAGTTATGCCTAAATATAGATAGAAACAGAGGTACATTTATAACAACCTAAAAACAAACTCAAGAGATTCTAGAATAAATCTGGACCAGAAGTTCTACAAAAGCAATATTAACAATCACTTTTTCTGATGGACAGCAGTTAGGTGGGGAAGAGCAGTTGGATGGAAATGAAAACAGGTTCGGAACCTATTAGAGGATGAAGGTACAGCCAGATATCTGGGAGCATGGTGGTGGGGTGGAGTGGGGTGGAGGGAGAATATGGCAGGATTTTTTTTGTTTTGTTTTAAAACTGGCCAAACTACAGGAATAGCTTAGTCTAGCCCATAGATGTAGCATAATTTTCCAAGTCTCAAGTTATGTGACTTAAAGCCAAAAGCCTGCTTCCAAAAATAATAACAAAATAGAGGCACCTTTCAATTTAATACAATATGCCATTTGATCTCAGACATCTACAGCATATGGATGTTGGCATCCTCAGCTAGTGAGTGGGGAAACGGGTTTGAACCTGGGTAGTTTGACTGATTGGTCTGCCATTTTAACCACTACATTCAGCTGGCCAGTATGTCAGGAGCCCAGTCTCTGTCATTTGGCACCATTCAGATTAGTCAGTTGCCATAGGTTTGGTAGTCAGAAAACCTATGGTAAGTATGTGTCCCCCCTAGGGAACATACAGGATAAAACCTAGCGTAAGTATGTATGTATGTATGTATCTATGTATGTATGTATGTGGAGAATAGATATACTCTGAGTGTACAGGACAGTAAACTCACTCTGTACCTACCAACCTGCTTTAACCAAGCTGCTGCACATCTTGTCCAGGTCTCCCATACAACCAAACTGTTACCACCTTCTGCCCATGAGAATGACCTCCCACCAAGGAATTGCACTGCTCTATCTCACCTATGACATGGGGCTGCCATGTAGTAGCCTGCCAGTCCTTGTTTCCTTTGATGAGAGATCCTTGTGGGTTGACCCTATCACCACATCAGCCTCTCTAGGCCCCTCTGGTCTCTGACTTGTCCATCTTCCCTCTCCAATAAGATCTCAACATGCCTTAAGGCTGATACCTTATGAGTTATGACAAGTCTTGGGATAAAATGTCCTATTTAAATTCAGTTTTGCTTCATTATCAACAACCCTATTACCAAGTGATTCTCAGAGCTATAACATGCAGTTTCCTGAGAGAAATAAAATTAAAATGCAGGCTCCCATAACTTTTCCAATTTTATCTTGTACACATATTAATTTAATATATTTATATTCTACACAGAGTCATTTTTTAAGGTTTTAATTGGCTCTCAATTTTTCCCATCTAAAGATTGTAAATGGATCGTAGATATCGTAAAATTCTTTGTGTCATCCACTAGATAAATTATGCTTCCATAGGACACTGTGACTGGAAGATTCATTATTACAATGTATGGGGAAGTAATTTTTTTTCATTCTGAGCCAGATTAGGAAATGATTTTTTTTTCTAGGAACCATTGCACTGTTACAGTTTTGACATAGGAACTTTTTAAAACATGTATCTATCTGTCCATGTCCATGTCATGTCTGTACCTATATCTGTGTACATGTATGCCTGTGCCTGTGCCCTTAAAAGGTGAATATTTATAAGAATATATGGACATATGGGGTTAAACTTCATTTCCCTCCATTTGGATAGTAGATCATTCCAAAATGTCATACATTTTGCATTCCTAAAACTTGAGCTTACTGCTTTTTCAAAGCCTTGCACAGTTCTAACCCAGAATTCATCATTATCCCTGACTATACTGACACTTCTCTGGGATGAACTCCAAGACAAGTTATGCATGATTTCAAATTGCATTTTAAAAATATTATAGATTTTCTCATTCTCCTTTAATATTCTTCCTTAAGTTCATCTCTGCTCTACCCTTCCTATTGGAAATTCCCATCGTTTTTTTCAAAAAATAATCTTTTTTCAAATGAACCAAAAAAGAAAAATACTAAGATATCTGTTTTTAATTAAAAGAGAACAAAATCTGAAGTTAATGTTCTTTACCTAATTTTCATTACCTAGAAGAACGCTAGTTTTAACCAGGTTTGGTTTTCTTAAAGAATCCCCCTCCCCTGCTAAGATTTTTAAAAACATAATCAATTGAAAGTAAATATGGCTGAAAGCAAAATTTGGTTTGTATTGGACTTCTCCAAGGGTTTTGAAGACTCCAGTATTAATTGAGTCTGATATTTCTTAACCACATTTCCCAGAGTTTATTTTCTTCTTATTGTGAGGTTTTTCCCATGTGTGTTTTCCTACACATCTTAGATTTCGCCTCTGAGGCTCGGTAACACGCTGCCTTAAAATATTAGAGTGGAAATTTGAAATGCATCCATGATGGATCTGATGGGAACACCCACAGGGGGGACGAGGGGGGTCGAACAGCTGGCCTCCT